TCACAAGGAATAACAAAATTGATATTACTTTACACTTTTAAGCTTTTTTTTATGGCTCTAGAGATTGAAGTCAAGGTCTGTGCATGCTAAGCAACCATCCCAGTCCCAGTATTAATTTTGCAAATTATCATTTGATACATGCATTAGTAGAAAATAGGGGAGTTTTCATATTTGCTTCTGAAACCATCTGTTGCAATTACATTTATCATGGAGCTTCTGGAAATCTCTATCTTATGTGTTAGAGTATTAGAGAATAGTGAAGAAAAGCCAATAGTATCTCAGTATTACCAAAATAGTCTTGACCTCACAGAGACTCCCTGAAGGGTCTCGATGACTTTCACATCTTGAGATGATTTAGAACAAGGATCTCTCAAACTCCAAACTGTGGCAAGTGACCTGAACAACAGGAAGCCAGAATATGGGAGCAAAAGAATAGTGCATGTTCACAGCACTGAGGAGAAATTGTTTTATGTATTAAAACTGTACCCAAGGAAGGGTGGGGAAGACGGCCAGGGCCCAGACATCTTATGGGGCAAATATGTACTGTAGAATATTATTTTAACTAGGCAAAGATGTGTTATATTTGTTTATGCTGCCGAATATTACTTTAACTGTGTAAAGGTGTGTTACTTTTGTTTATGTTGCATTTGTTTAATTATGAAAAGCTGTTTTACCTTGCCTGCATAAGACACCTGATGGGTCTAATAAAGAGCTGAATAGCCAATAGCTAGGCAGGAGAGGGATAGGTGAGACTGCCAGGCAGAGAGAATAGATAGGAGGAGAAATCTAGGCTCTCAAAAAGAGAAAAGATGAATGAGAAAAGAAGGAGGAGAGAAGGAGGAATATACCTGGGCCAAGAAAGCAGGCAGAAGCCAGCCAGCGAGACATAGAGAAGCATTGAAAGTAAGATATACAGAAGTAAGAAAGGTAAAAAGCCCTGAGGCAAAAGATAGATAAAGAGAAACAGGTTAATTTAAGTTAAAAGAGCTAGCCAGAAACATGTCTAAGCTGGGCCAAGCATTCGAAAATAATAAGTCTGTGTCATGATTTGGGAGCTTGTTGGTGGCCCAAATGAAAATGCCTGGTACAAGTATGAGTTGCATTCACAGAAGGAACTGGACCAATGCCTGTGATTTGAGCATCACAGGTCATGGCTTCTCTGCCTCTCTAACCTTCCTTCCTCAGGACAGCACATCATGCCCAGTAATGCTAACAACGATGTAGTTCCCTATCTTCTGGAAGCATCAAAGCATGGGGATTCAGAACAGGAGCTTTTCAGGTGCACAGACCTAGGTTCAAATCTGGGATCTGCCACTTAGGAGCTATGTGGTCGGGGTGTATGTGTGTGTGTGGGGAAGCTACATATGTTTGTTGACTCTCAAAATGCTAACTGGTGTGATGGGTCTGGATCATTCTACAGAAAGGCAAGTTTGATTCCCCCATGCCTTGCATTGAACTGGTCTCGTGTCTTAACCACTACTATGGCAGATGTGGCTTTGCATGACTTCTGAGCAAGTTTTGGGGGCCCTGATGCCTTCACCTGCCCTTGTAGTCCCTGTAGTCTGGGGTATGGAAAATACTGAGATGAAAGACCTCATGGATTGAGTGGTTCAGATGTTTCTTTGAGGCCGAGGCCATCTTACTCTATCTAGGTGTCTTAGAGTTTCTTTTGCTGTGAAGAGATACCAACTCTTATAAAGGAAAACATTTAATTGGGTGACTTTCAGTTTCAGAGGTTCAGTCCATTATCATCATGGTGGGACATGGTGGCATGCAGGCAGACATGGTGCTGGAGAGGTAGCTGAGAATACTGCATCTTGATCTGAAGGCAACAGGAAATGAACTGAGACACTGGGCGTGGCTTGAGCATATATGAGACCTCCCAAAGTCCACCTCCACAGTGACATACTTCCTCCGACAAAGCCACACCTACTCCAACAAAGCCACATCTCCTAATAGTGCCACTCCCTATGGACTTATGGGGGTGCCAATTACATTCAAACCACCACACTAGCTAGGCCTCCAAACAAAGGGCTTAGATGGGGAGGACAGGAGAACTCCATTCTCACATAGAACTGTGAGAAATGACCAAGCTTCAGACAACTTTTAGGGTGGCTTCTCAGGTGACTAACTTGTTCTCATTTGTCCACTTGATGTCCCTGTTTGTAACCCAGCCATCACCAATTGACACAGTGCTAGGGAATGTCTGAGAGCTTAGAGAAATGATGTGGCATGCTGGAGGCAAAGCACAGAACCCACGCTAGGAAAGAGAATCTTTGCTGTCCTCCATTTACAAAACTACCCAAGATTTCCCAGCTAATAAAAAGGTGATCTGTTACCTCTGTCTGTAATTAGGCCTCTCTTTCAGAGCCCGTTAATGATTTAAATACACCAACTAGCATTTGTTGGTGAAAGGATGCTGTGTTTTAAGCTAAGCACAAAAGTAGTAGGCCTCTGGGAAATTAGAACCAAGAAATAAAGGAAACATTGGACTTAACTAAACTCAAACCTGCTGTGAGCTCTCAAAACAGCATCACTGTCCAATATTGAAAATGCTTAATATTATGTCATTCTGGGTGGGTCTAGAATAGGGCTGCATTTTTTGACAATATTTTTCCCAGGGCCATATCCAGCAAAAACAGTCCAAGGAAAAGACCTGCAAGTTATGTCTATATAATGCCTCCATAAAAATGCAGAGTTCTGGGGGTAGAGTGGGGGATGGGCAGAGTCTGCTGAATGTGAGACTTAAAATCTTTTAAAATTGTTTTAGTTCTGTTCATTAGGAAAAGGAGGGCTGGAACAAACCACCCATGAAAATCTGAAATTCATTCAGTGATGGTGTAATTTTTTCCTCAGGTCAGAATTATTTGACCTAAAATATATTTTAAAACAACCAAGTGGTAACACGTCTCTCTTCCTAACTGCAATTGCTTGTTATTCACACAGTTAAAATAACTTCCCCACCCTGGTGGCAAAAAGAACTTCATCTTGCCAGAAAACAACTGTCCTGTCGATCACTAGAGAATTCTGACTTTGCAAAAAGCACATGTGAAATCACTCAGCAAGCTGAAAGGCAAAAATGTCAGCCTCAGAGAATTTAATCAAGGAGGTATTTCCTCCTGCAGACTTCCAACAGCCAGCATGCAGAAGACGGGCCCAGACACATCTGCATGGCATGTGTACTTCATTCACACAGCAACATCGCAAGACAGAGTTGAAAAGGAGTTCTGTAGCTCTGCAAACCAGTGACTTGATTCCTGCACAGGATCAAAGTCAGGTTCAGTCATCCTACCATTCACTGACACCGCTCCTCAGAGGAAACAAAGACAGATGTCAAAACACAGGTCTCTGTTTTTTTGTTTTTTTAAGAATGAGAGGTAAGCAGAAAACTAAGGTGCTTCATGCCCTCTGAAAGGAATATCCCTTACCTCACGGCATGGGTCGGTATATCTGAGAGTGTATGCATTTCTACATTTACACTTTTGTTCTTGTCCACGTTTACATCCACCCGACAACATTGTGTTATTTCTCCAGCTTGAAGGCTACACTTCTTTTATTTTGAAATACCTTCTTATTTATTTTGCAAAATTCCATACAGTATTCATTGTGTTGGGAATCAGAAAGCTACTCCAAGTGCCACTGTGGACAGAGTTAAACATTGAGAGCTATAGGTTCAAATGCTTGCTTGGTTACTTTTCTCTTGCTGTGAAAAGATACTGTGACCAAAGCAACTTATAAAAGAAAACATTGATTGGGTCTTACAGTTCCAGAGAGTTAGAGTCTGCCGTCATGGCTGAGGACATGGTAGCAGGCAGGCAGACATGATGCTGGAAGAGCAGTAAGAAGCTTACATCCTGTTTTCCAAATAGGAAGCAGAGAAAAAGACGGCACTAACTGGACCTGGCATGGGCTTTTGAACCCTCAAAGCCCACCCCAGTGACACACCTCCTTCAGGAAGGCCACAGCTCTTAATCCTTCCTAAACAGTCCCACCAACTGGAGATCAAGTATTCAATTGTGTGACCCGCTATGGGGGTCATTCTCATTCAAATCCCCACAAATGTGCATCATGATTTGGAAGTTAGATTAAAATGTGTGTTAGGAGTTTGAGTTTTTGACTCACAGAAATAGATTTTCTAGCTACTTTGAGGCTTTTATAGAATTACAATGTTCATCCTATATATTTGAATCACTCACAATTGGCTAACATAAAACATATAAAAGGGAGTTGGGGGAAATGCTTCGGTTGTTAAAGTGACTGTTGCACCAATATGGACCTTGAGTTTAGGTTCCTGGTACTCATGCAATAAGCCAAGCGTGGTGGTGTGTGTCCGTACCCCCAGTGCTGAGGGGATCGAGGTAGGGGGATACCTGAAGTTCGTTGACCAGCCGGCCTAACTAAATCCATGAACTCCAAGTTCAGTGAGAGACCCTGTCTCAAAAACTGAAGTGGGGATGCTATGGGGGAAGACCGTTGATGCTGTCTGCCCTCCACATGCATATGCACCCACATGGGCATGTACACATGTCACACACATGCACATCCACAAATACTGCATGTGTGTGTGTGTGTGTGTGTGTGTGTGTGTGTGTGTGTGTGTGTACATACATAAGCTACTTGAACAAAACTCTAAATCAAAAATCTATTTTTCTGAAGATAATGCTGTAATAAAAAGTAACAGAAAAACCTAGTGAAAGAGCCAATGTGTGGCACTCAAGAAAATAGAAAAATGATAGAAATGATATATTTGAGAGATGCCTATTTAATTATAAGCTAATTTAGATAGTCACAAATGCCACCAACATAATAAAATCTAGATAGGTCCATTTCCGTTACTGTAGGCACCACTCTCTTTGATGAATGGAGGCTTGAGACTTCTAACCAGGATCCTTTACTCCTAGGTTATTTTATCCAAGAAAAGCAAGAGTCATCTTGTCCAATCACCTACTCTGTTTAATATTTCTTTAAAATATTTATTTTTTACAATAAAGATCCAAAGACATAGCACAAAGCACCCAGTGGCCAGGACCCTTCCAACCTTCCACTTGATCACAAAGCACTCTTCCCTTGATGGCTGTGTCTTCCACATCTCCTCTTCTGCTTCCAAGTTTGTCCTTTCCAAGGTTGCTTCATGCTTCTCTTCTGTGGCCTTGGATACCTTTTCTCTGGTCACTAATATGGCTATCTTGTCTCATCATCCAGATCCAGCCCAACCTCAACTTGCCAGAGTACCTATGGGAAGTTTCGGTCTCTCCGACAGCATCTTGCTCTGTCACCATCTTGGTTACTCACATTCATGGCTTCTTTCATGGCCTGACATGATAGGTTATGTGATTTCTTATGCACTACCCATCTCTAATGCTGGAAAGTGACTAGCCCAGAGTGATGATGCTAACTTTCTCATTCACCGCTGGGCTCCCTGCATGCAGAACTATATAGTTTTCACAAGAATTAGTCCAGCTGATCTCTAGATAACTGATTGTAGGGGAGCATATTAGAAGTGAGGAGACCGGGATAAGGACTGGGAGGAAGGATGATGGTATTTGCTGTGATCAAGTTGAGGGCAGTGGAGCTAGAGCAATGTTAGAGGAGGGAGTCACGACCAGCAAGACTAGACACTTGGTTGAGCATGCAATGTCCTCAAGCTGGTTTGAAAGTTACCCTCTTCAAAGTAAATTCCTTATATAGGTTCCTTCCTCCAAAAGGCTATATGACCGATAACCTCAGTTTTCTAGGCAACTAGCCTGCTGTAGGCCACAGATAATGATTAATGGAGTGAGGTATGACATATAGTACCCACACATAGGTTATAAGAAAGGTCAGTACATTTTTTACTTCCCAGGGCAGTGTTTGGCACTATTCCTATTCCCTCTCAAAAATGCCCAAGTACAAATAGTGAATCATATGATTCCCTCAGACACTTAGGGAAGTCCATAGCCCCTGAAATTGGTAGGTGTTCTGACCAGCAGGAGTGCCTAATGTTGAGTGGTAGCCAAGCTGATAAAATCCAAACTCTGGAACCGTATTAGTGCTAGATAAACAGAGAACAGGCAATGCTCCATATAGCAGAGTCTGTCAGGAAGGCTTTCTGCATCCTGCAGAGTTGGAAGGCACTCTATATGGCAGTGAAGCAGAAAGACCCCAGTTACTCCTACTGGGTTCCATACTGAGAGTCACTGGGCTCTTTTCTTCCTCACCATTTATGAAGTTACATGACAAAAACAGCATCTCAGTTGGCAAAAGTGTCACATGAGAAATGCACAGGCTTTGCAAAGACTTAATTACTACATGGCATCTGCAAGAAGTAGCAATGGAGCTCTGACTAATTGCCACAGTTTCTCACCTTATAGTGGAGTGTCTCAAAGAAGTCACCAAGACAGTGGACAACATGATCTTATGCTGTATACATGAACTCAGAGCTGGACCACGACATGTCATGCTCCTGAAAACTGGGAATAGAAATGCAGAACCATAGTTAAAAGTGTCTCTCACCCTTTCCCCCTATAAACCCTATCTGTTGAAGAGACTTCAATCCTAGAAAATAGAGGGTGATTTTTATAAGTGATTTTAATTTTAAATCCTAGTGGCTCAATAACTTCTTTAAAATCACCACCTATTTCCGTGTGTTTAAATTGTTGAACTAGCTTTTAATGAACTATTAAACTACACCTTGTAAAATTTCTGCACCTTTCCCCATCTCTATTTTCTATGAAACAGAGATATTAATCCTATTTAATGGATGCATTGATTGTTTATGCCTTAAAGAAGCACATTGAAAAGATTTTAGCAATGCTCAAAGAGGAGTTGATCTTCTGAAAGGATTTAATTTAACAGGTTACTGATTATGACTCCATCAGGCATTTCCTTAGTACAGAAGATGAGGTGATACTGCAATTCGACTGATGCTGAAGAAAGTGGTCTAAGGTTTTAATTAACGGTGCATTGTTTTAATTAATTGGAAAAATGCATTCTAGGCCTCTCAAGTCTATTATAGAATTCATTACATGTGGTTAGCATCCTATAAAATATCACAGTTGCTATCTCTTTCCATTTTGTTAACCACTGGCCACTGCCGGCAAGAGAATCTCAGAACTGTGTGGTATGGCAGGCTGTAGTTCTTTTAGAAAAAGGCCCACAGTATTGTCAAAGCATTCCTCGTATAAGGGGATTCTCTGACTAAAAGTTGATTCTTTGGAATGCAGAAAATCTGAATGAAAACCAATAAATTTAAAACTTGCCAGCTTAATTATTCAACTTTTGATACCAAGAAAAGCAGTTATATTAAGTCCCTACTTAAGACTATGCAACTTTTATTAAAAAACATGAAATGGAACACATAGGCATTATCTCTGTAAAGACATCAAACACACACACACACAAACACACACACACACACACACACACACACACACACACACACACACACACACACAAGACAAGAGGAAGTGGGCCTATCCTACCTTGCAAAGGCTCCCAGATGTTGGACACCAAGAAAAATGCTATATTATGTAGAAGTTTTACCTAAGTGTCATTGGAAAGAACAATACTGACACTTTCTGCTCTTTCTCTGCTCACTTCCCTCCCCTCAGTCCTTAAATTAAAACTCAAAGCAGAACAAGGCTTCCTGGCTGAGCTATGAAAAACACTATTCATTTTCCCCCTGACCTGATTAGTCAGACTGTCTTTCGAAAGATTAGTTTTCAATCTGTCCACTGCCGGAGAGGAAGGCCTCCAAATTAAAGCTACATCGATTGTTTGTGGCTCCAAGAGAGGCCCATTTTTTAAAAAATTTCAGCAATGCTAAAAGAAATGCTGGTCTTCTGAAAGACTTGATTTAATGGATTTTTTTTAAAGCCTGTATTTTGGAAACTTGTCAAAAATATGCTTAAATTTCTATGTACAAGGTTGACTGCCTTGATATTTTGAATGGTAAGGGCTTCATCAACGTCTTAGCATTTTGCTTTGACTCCAGATTTCAGAATCACTGGACCCACGATGGGGAATTTCAATAGAACTCTGACTCTGGCTCAAATATAGAGCCAGTTGTTTATTTCCCTGGCTTAGCTGTAAAACAAGTGGTGTCCTTCACAGCTTCCCCAAGTGCCCTTCCTGTGTAGTTTCTTCTCTTGCTGCCTCTGCTTTGGAAGCTACACTGGAAAATTAGGAGAAAGGTTTCTACAAGCATTGATTAAAAAAAAAGAGAAAAGTCTATTTGGCTGGCATCAAAGAGATGGAAGTTTGTGTAGAGCTTTTGATGGCCCAACTTTCCTTCATTCTTTGCCAGTAAAGTTCTAATGCTGTGGCTCAGATGGAAAAAAGATAACAGATTAGATACCTGTTTGTTCCATGTTACATTTATACTACTTGTTTAGAAGACCCACACAATGAGAATTTAAAGCAGAGGAAGAATCTGCTGTTGAATAATCCTTTTGTACACTGTGAATATGTGTTGTTCTCATTGGTTTAATAAGGAGCCAACTGGCCAATAGCTAGGCAGGAAGAGGTTAGGTGGCAGAGCCAGGTTGAGAGAACACTGGGAAAATGGAGTCACCAGCAGACACAGAGGAAGCAGGAGAAGAATATGCTGTGTTGAATAAAGATAGAGACACGTGGTAGAGCATGGATAAGAAACATGGGTTAATTTAAGTTGTAAGAGAGTTAGTAACAAGCTTAAGCTATTGGCTGAACAGTTATAATTCATAATAAGTCTCTGTGTCATTACTGGGGAGCTGGTGGTCCCAATAAAAAACTCCAGCCTACAAGAACCATTTTAGAAGACTTTGTTTTTGAAGCCTTCCATTTTTTAAAATAGCTGGTATAATCACACATTAGCTTACTCCTAACAGCAGCATGCACAGAAATCACAGCCCTCTGAAGACCTGTAATGAGCAATGTTCAACAAGAAGAGGAGTAACCCTGAAGTTTGTGACTATTCTTTAAACCATAGATACTGAAATATTCCTACTACTTAAAGTGTTGACTTCTCACTTTCCTCAAGTCCATCTCATGTTTTTTTTTACTTTCTCATGTTTGTCTTATTTTGTTTTGCAAATTTTACATATAAGCATTGCATCTACATCATTCCTTCCCTTCCCTCTCTCTTCCAACTCCTCCTGTGTCCCTTCTCTCCCTTCCCAGTTCATGACCTCTTTTTAAATTATTAGTTTTTACTTATTTACAAAATTTGATGAAAGATTTGTATATACTTGAATTTTACGTCCATGAGTGTTTTGCCTCATGTTGTATGTGAACTCTTTACATGGGTTGAGTGCATTCTGGAGGCTAGACAAGCCAGAAAATCTGGAACTGGAGTTCAGATTTGTGTGCCATACCATGTGAGTTCAACAGTGGGTCCTTACACGAGTTAGCAAGTGCTCTTAACCACTGAGCTGGCTCTCCAGTCCCGACGCCTGGATTTTCCTTAGGTAGGTCTCATGCATTTCAAACTCAGTTCTGTGCCTGCATGGCAAACATTGACCACTTGCATATCCAAAAGCCCCACCAAATTGCAAAAATTTCTGAGAACAGAAAATCAGCCTGAGCTGAAATGGATTCTGGAAGAGAGGCAGTAGTCTGAGCTTCCGCTTTCCCTGTCAATCATTGGGAATCAAATAGTTTGGACTTGGAATCTCCCTGTCTCTCAAAAGCTTTGTGTCTGAAAATTTGGACCCTGATTTGTGCTATTCTGAGACCCTGCCTGAAGAAGTGGGACCTTGAGGGAGCGCTTCTCCCACTTGGGGGTGTGCCTATGAAGGAGGTCAGGGAGCCTTGGTCTGCCTAAATCATCACTCTCTTTTGCTCTGTGGCTGTGAGCTGAGCCGTTGTGCTGGGATGCATGCTCCTGCCATGGGTGCTGTCTTTTATGGAGTGGCACCTTCATTTGGCCTAAAGTCATGTGGCTCCCTCACAGGCCTAAGGCCTCTGAAAGGGTGAGACATGAGCCTATTCACCTAACTGACAGCAAGAGAGAATGTGTTTTAGTCACCACAACTGGTTAACACAGGGACAGGAAGTCTTGTCCACAGACTGGGTGTGACATACATGTGCAGCAAATAAGTGCCGTCTACTTTCCTCGATTTTATACATACATAAGCCAGACATGCACCCACGACACTTTTCTTAGCAGAAGTCCAAGTTTCAGCAAGACAAAACAGAGAAGGACAAGGTGGACTAACAGGGGAGGGTTCAGGGATCATTAGTGACTCTGCAATGACTCTTCATGAGGGCAAAGACAGGGGCCGGAGATATGAATCTCAAAGCAGGTCTTAATTTCGAGGTGTGTCACAACAGGGGACAGACGTGAGTGATGGCAAGCAAGCACAGGTGGGTAGAGAGACCTTTCGCCAAAGCCCCTAGAGTGGCTGTGGTCTGACATACAGGACCTTGGTTGTGGTCTCGACTTCTGGGACATAAGGGCTGCCATGGATACTGAGTCCTCTAGAAAACATCCTTTTAGCCACTGGCAGCCTCATCTTGGTTCATCACCCTTATATACCATCAGCCAGCTCACCTGCCATCCTCTTCCTGCTCATGACCTAGATCCTGCCTGTGCCCTAAGTTCTTCACGCAGCCTTTCCTCATTTCATTTGGATTACAGACACATGCCACAATACTCAGCTTTTCTGTGGGTGCTAGGAGTCTGAACTCAGTGGTAGCCCTTCACACACAGAGCCATTTCCTCAGCCTCTTCACCTCAAGAGCACTCTTAAAAGGATATAATATTACCTGAATAAACAGGAAATAGAGAGCAAACAACTTCCAAAGCTATAGAAATGACAGAGGCAGCTTGCTGTCTGGAAAGTCACCCCAAGGTTCTTCTGCAACATTGTGGCATCCATCTTCAGCCTACAAGTCCAGAATGTCTGACAGACTTCTTTTGTGAAGCAGGAATTTTGAAGGACTGTCCTATCTTGTTTTGGTAAAGTTAGGCAGTCACTTTTTTTTATGTGTCTGGCTTGTCCAGTTTGGACAGCATACTGTCAGCAGTTGAAGCAAGGGCAGTTTCTTTGCCCAGTGGCTAACTTGTCCACAATGAAAGCAAACTCCATATGGAGGTTCTTCAATGTCCTTCATCTTTTTTTTAAGGAAATTGGTGCTTTCAGGAGCAGACCTATCATGAAAAGACTGTCATGAAAAGCCTTATGTTATTAAAACATATTAAATGCCATATTCTGTAGATCTCTGAAGTGTTTGAAGACCATCTGTCTATCTAAAATATATCTGTTTGACCTTGAAAACATACCTAACATAGCCACAAATTTGATTTTTAGATGACTAACTACTAACCTGTATTTCTTAATTATCCTAAATAATTTGTGTTGTAGAATATTATTTCAAGGTGTGATACTTTTATTTATGCTCTGGAATGTTTGTTTAATGATGCAAAGATATGTTTGATTAAATAAAATTGACCTGTGGTCAGGAGGCCAAGTCAGCAACTAGATGACAGGAAGTGGTAGGGAGGAGCCAGGTGAAAAAGGGTTTATAAGGAGGGGGCAAAGAGAAGCATGAGGGCTTTTTGGAGGATTTGAGCAAGGAGAGGAGGTGAGCTACTTGCTATTGAAGAGCATAATTCCACCTTAACCTTTGAATCTTGAGTTCTTTAGAGGGACAGAGGTTTAGTTAAGTTCCCTTCATAGCTTTGCAAGAAGTGGAGTCAGAGGGAACGGAATTCCCTCTAGCTATGGTCCTTGTGGCCTAACTGCTGCTGGTAGTGGAGGAGTTGCAGTTGCTGATTCAGACAGCTCTGGCTTAAAAGGCAGAAGCAATTTTAAAAAGGACAACAAGTTTATAATAATAGCTTTCAAGGACTAGAAATTTACATTACATTGTTAAGTGAGATGTATAGGTACAATACCTTAAACAAGAGTAGAAACATACATTACAAATTTGTATCAATATACAAAAATACTGTAAACAAGAGTAGAAACATATATAAAGTATATTTTAACAAAAATAACTTTAAATTTATATCAATATACAAAAATCCCTACCAATGTAAAGTAATTGAGAATAGTTGTTTTTTAGTTTAAAAGTAGATTCAATAACCTACCCTTTTATTCTATCATTTATACATCCCCCCTTTTTATCTTTTTAGAAAAATATCCTTAAATCTAACCTCCTTTGCTTAGTTTTTTCTCTGACCATGACCAGTAACAACTTGCAACAAACCCCCTAAACAATGACAAACATCCATAATCCACTGAATGACCAAAGACCACCCATTCCACCTCTTGGAAATATAGGTGTTGTGTTCTCTAGACTGCCTACTGTTGTCTGGGGGTGAAATCTTTAGGGGACCCTGAGAAAACTGGGATAATGGTCAAGTACTGGGAGAGCTAACTGTATTATTTTTTTTTCTTTTGTCTCCATGTGATGGGAAAGTGTAGAGCTTATCCGATGTCCTGACTGGAATAGGTTACGAGGGCGAATCAACTTAGCTAACAGCTTAGACGTTGTTCTGGATGCAGAATTTTGAGGAAACTGTAGCTGAGGTATTCTGAGAGGCTGGATTACTTGGGGTACTTGTCTTGTCTTTATTCGTGCCAGTCCTTTTGTTCTGAAGACACATAAACTTTTAGAGGTAACATATGTATCTGCATTAACACAAGTATGAAATGTGCAGTGTGCACACATCAACTAAAGATGATTTTTTTGTTTTAGTTTAAGCAGGTAAAAGAC